CCACTCCCACTCACACTCGCATTCACACTCCCACTCACTCACACTCAAATTCACACTCACACTCACACTCACTCACTCTCCCACTCCCCCACTCCCACTCAGACTCACACTCCGTCACATTCGCACTCTCACATCACCCACGCACACTTTCACTCTCACACTCACTCTCACACTCGCACTCACTCACCCCACACTCACTCACACACCCACCTTCACTCTCACTCACACGCACTCCCACTCTCACTCTCTCACTCACTCTCACTCTCACTCTCAAACTCCCTCTCCCTCTCCCTCTCGCTCTCGCTCACACTCACACTCTCACTCACTCTCCCACGCTGACTTTCACTCACTCCCACTCTCACTCTCACACACTCACTCTCACTCTCACTCTCACTCACACTTGCACTCACACTCACACTCACTCACTCTCCCACTCACTCACACTCACACTCACTCACACTCTCACTCTCACTCTCACTCACTCTCACCCACACTCACTCTCACTCACACTTGTGCTCTCACTCACTCACTCACTCACTCACTCGCTCACTCACTCACTCACTCACTCACTCCCTCTCACTCACACTCGTGCTCTCACTCACTCACTCACTCACTCACTCACTCACTCGCTCTCATCCTCACTCACTCACACCCGCCTTCACTCTCACTCTCACTCACACTCACTCACTCTCGCTCTCGCTCTCCCTCTCCCTCTCCCTCTCCCTCTCCCCCTCATTCTCACTCTCAATCACACTTTCACTCTCACTCTCACTCACTCACTCACTCACACTCACACTCACACTCACACACTCACTCACACACACACTCACTCACTCACTCACTCACTCACTCACTCACTCACTCACTCACTCACTCACTCACTCACTCACTCACTCACTCACTCACTCACTCAACACCACCGCCACCGTCACCACGATCCCCACCTTTATCACCACAGCTTTAGTCATCAGGTTTTGTTTCCTTCAATTCCCTCACCAAAACTTCTGTCCACAGTTTTAGTCATTAGGTGTTGTTTCTTCAATGTCTTTCACCAAATTTTGGTCCACAGTTTTAGTCCTTTGTTTTTTGCTTCCTTAATTTCCTTCAAAATTTTGGTCCACAGCTTTTGTCATCAGGTTTTGTTTCCTTCAATTCCCTCACCAATTCTTTTCCACCGTTTTAGTCATTGTTTTAATTTCGTTAACTTCCTTCACAAAAAGAATGTCCACAATTTGTTTATCAGTTTTTTTCCGTCAGTTTCCTCACTGAAAATTTTGCCCACAGCTTTAGTCCTTTGGTTTTGCTTGCTTAATTTCCTTCGCCAAATATTTGGTCCACAACTTTCGTCATCAGATTTTGTTGCCTTCAAATCCCTCACCGAAGCTTTTGTCGACAGTTTTAGTCATTAGTTTTTACTTTTGTAATTTCCCTCACCAAAAACAGTTGGTCCACAGCTTTAGTCATCAAGCTTTGTTCTTTCATTGTTTTCACCAAAAACTGCCCTTTAGTCATTAGAGTTTGCTTCCTTATTTCCCACCGCCGATAGAAAGTGGACACTCGCCATTGTTGTTTAAATAAGGTTTTTCACTATTGATCTAATGTCTTTGTATCAATTCTATGTATGTATCTTCATTTGAGCAGTAAGAAATTGCTCTGCAAAAGAAAAACAATTAGCGACGGTTGAAACCTGTAGCCATTATAACTTGCAACCTGAAGATCACCAATCAGGCTTCAAATCCTATGGCAACTGGGTTTAGAACATTGAAAAGCCACTGGGACTTCCGAGGTGAAGATAGTCAATGTCCAGCCCAAAGCAAAAGTCTTTGGGGAGCAATCTCGTTTAACATTTGCAAGAAAGTTGTGATCAAACTTTCTTTTGGTTTTTTGAACTGTCCTGTCAGATTGGTGTTATTTCTTTCCCGTACATGCACACAGATGCATGTATGTACTTTTTGATAAGTACGTACACCATTTACAAACATACACATATGGACACATAGTTTTAACAAGTACTTATATACATACATATGTACACATATGCTTGTATGTGTACACACTGTGATGTTCAAAGCTTGCAACAGTGGAGCAGTGAACAATGACCCGTGGAGCACAATGACCAGTGGAAAATCTCCAAAAATATCACTGCTTGCATGGAATGTCACCGCAGAATCAAAGATTCATTGCATGAGTCCGGCAGATCAAATGTCCAAGGGATCAACCAAAAACATGGGAACAGTGAACAGTGGAAACAAAAAAGTGAACAGGGGTCAAAGCAAGAAACACTTCACATCACAGCAGTTCCATCTCAACAGAAAACTGTTTCATTGATTTTTTGGCAAATGATGGTTCATGCACAATGTTGGGAAAAAGTTGTAAAGTTTTAAACTGCGCGATTTGTTGTCCCGGCCTGCCCCCCCTGGATGAAAACATGGGTTTGGCCAACAAAATCGTAGACCCACATCTTTAAGCACGTATTCATAGCGCTAAACTCTAAACTATATCTTGGTTTTCTTGTTTCATTTATCTTTCACCATGGCATGAGGGGATGTTAGTTGACCAAATGAATGCCCAAAGCCAAAACTTCTCACAAATATGCAATTCCAGCTGAAGTGAAAATGCACCAAGTACCTTCATGTGAACAGCTCTAGGCCTCCATGAAAACTGCACGCAGTGCGTGCGTGCATGAAGTCGCTAGCTTAACTCTAAGTCAGCGTCATCCCAAATGACAAAACCACAACTGTCACAGGGCACCTTGGCTGCCTACAATTTTTACACGCGGAATGCAGTCTCCACTTGAGCCTACAGGCCCAAAGAGTCATACAGCGATATGACAGAGTACCATGGATATGAAAGTGTCCATGATCCAAAGGTCCTAATAGGGATTGTTGGTGATGATCATGATCCTGGAACATGTTAAAATGTCATTTGGCAAAAGTTTTTCTTGAGTTGGCAAAAGTATGTTTGACGAAAAAATAGCTAAAGTCTGAAAAGTCTACCCTGAAAATGGTGAAAGAATGGCTAAAGTCCAGCTAATGAAAGGTGAACGTTCACCCTGACACATCTGTCCCTCTGCCGATTATGGGTAAGCCTATGATACAGTTCTATGATACAAATGACACGATATGCTTTACATTGTATGATGTTCATGTGTCTATGCACCTATTTGCTTCCTATACATGGTCAGAAGTTTGATATATGTCATACCATTTGCATGGCAAACAGAAATACAACATTCTTTGGTGAAAAATAACATGTGAAACGGTGAAAGTTTGGCTAAAGTATTGTTTGTTGGCCAAGAATGATGGATCGTGGATGAAGGAATTTAGACCAACACCCATATACAAAAACCATTACAGTGTGGACACATCTCCTTACATACATCAAAAAATGAAAAAAACAAAGGGCCACTTGCTCGGGAACAAGGGGCCAGTTCCCAAGAACAGAGATTAAAGGCGCGCTCAGGGCGCGCTCTGCAAAGAGAAAGACAGAAAAAGAGAAACTTAAAGAGAGAGAGAGAGAGAGAGAAAGAGAGCAGGGCGAGCGCGCGCTTCGTGTGCTATGGACGGCGTGCTCGTGCGCGCTCTGAAATACGCTCCACAAAGGCGCTCTCAGGGCGCGCTCCGCAGAGAGAAAGACAGAGAAAGAGAAACTTAAAGAGAAAGAGAGAGAGAGAGAGAGAGAGACAAGGAAAGAGAGCAGGGCGAGCGCGCGCGCTCGTGTGCTATGGACGGCGCGCTCGCGTGCGCTCTGAAATACGCTCCAGAATAGGCGCGCCCAGGGCGCGCTCTGCAGAGAGAAAGACAGAGAAAGAGAAACTTAAAGAGAAAGAGAGAGAGAGAGAGAAGGAAAGAGAGCAGGGCGAGCGCGCGCGTGTCGTGTGCTATGGACGGCGCGCTCGGCTCTGAAATACGCTCCAGATAGGCGCGAGGGAGAGAGAGAGAGAGAGAGAGACAGAAAGAAAGCAAGCAAGCAAGCAAGGAAGAAAGAAAGAAAGAAAGCACGCAAGCAAGCAAGGAAGGAAGGAAGGAAGAACGAAATAAAGAAAGAAAAAATACTGAAAGAAAGACAGCAGGGCGAGCGCGCGCTTGTGTGCTATGGACGGGCGCGCTCACGCTCCAGAAAGGCGCGGTCAGAGCGTGCTGTGCAAAGAGAAAGACAGAGAAAGAAACGCAGAGAGAGAGAGAGAGAGAGCAGGGCGAGCGCGCGCGTGCTCGTGTGCTATGGACGGCTTACTGGGCTCTTGTCCTCCTCTTGTCCTCTGTGCTGGGCTCTGTGGCTGGGCCTTGTCCTCCTCTTGTCCTTGTTTTGGCCGCGTCCCTGAATTCTGTGGCTGGGCTCTGTGGCCGGGCTCTGTGTCCGGGTCTTGTCCTCCTCTTGTCCTTGTCTTGGCCGCGCCCCTGAACTCTGTGGCTGGTCTCCGTGGCCCGTCTTACTGGAGAGGAGTGTGGCCGAACAAATAGCGACGTCAATGCCGACAAAAATTCATTGATGAAGCAGTTTGCCCTTGGGGTGAAAGTAGGGCGTACCAAGAAATCGATTTTTGACTGATATTGGTTTAGACGAATCGTTTTGAAGCTGTTTGGGGTCTACGCTTGTATAATTGACTAATATTGGTTTGAAACTGTTTGGTGTCTATGCTTGTATATTTTTTTCACCTGCGGCATTTCAACATCCGCCTGCCCCGGCTGAGGCCGCCCCAGCCAGGTGCGGCCGTCGGCCGCGGTGCCCGGGCCGGCCTCTACGGGCGGCACTGCATCAGGAGCTTTGTCTGCGGATGTGGTGTCCCCTGACAAGAATGCCAGGATGGTCCATCATTGGGATCATTGGGACGGCTTGATTTGGCGAACCTTCAGCTAGAGCAGCTGACCTTCTTTTTCTTCAACTATATTGCAACTGTAATGAATCCCATGGTTTTTGAGGCGAATCAGGGTCCTCTCAGGTCCTTTCCGCTATTTTGGTCTGTTTGTTTGGGGGTGGGCCTCACCATAGTGTCACCGTTTCTGCATGGACTTGGTCATTTTCAGGGAAGAGCGTATGGCATCACCCAGCCTGTCGCCCAGGTCTCATATGAAACGCTGCTTGGACTTGTCGGGAAAAAATGCATCCCTCCTACAGGACCTCACGCAGGCGCTAGGAGATGAAAGAGGAGCCGATTGGGACCTGTAATTTAGGGTGGTTTGAATGACCATATTGATTTATTCATTGGTGACTCACCCACCAAGGAATGCACATGAATGCACCCATGGAAATCTTATCCATGTTGAGCAAAGCGGGTGGGGTTACGAACTGCCATGGTGGCACAGGAAGTAAACCTATACCCAATATTTCCGAATAACCTGCAACCCTGATGTCGGGCCTGATGTCCATTTGTCCATTTGAACGTGGTTCAGCTGCCATGCTTCCAGACAGCTTCTGGTGACCATCCAACTGGCCACACCAAGTTTTTCCCTTTGAAAGTAAATCTCCTCTATGTACAGTCCTGCGGATGTCGTGCCATGTCCTGCCTATGGTGCCAGGCCCTGGCTGTCCCGCCCTGCGTGTCGGGCCAAAAAGAGAAAGGAGCAAATGCAGTGCGTATTGGTGCTGTAGAGATCATTGAGATTGATTGGATTACGACAAGTTGTTTCATACGTGGCAAAGAGTCAAGCAAGATTTGGGAGGACTATGCGGCATGTAGCTACACTTGCAACTGCAACCGGTGTTTTGAAGCTTCTTCATAAGTCAAGATAATTCAACTGGAGACTGCAAAGGCTCTTTTGCTGGTTGTGGTATCGATTTTGGGTGCACAAGGACTGGCACTTATGTCCTTCGCCGGAAGCACCCAGGTGAAGCCTTTGCAGGGTGACACCGCTGATCTCACCACAGACGGTCGAGTGCCCACGGAGATTCTTTTGGCGCCTGGGACAAGTGAGTTCGGTACGCATCAGAGGATCCATTTCAAACCGATGTGGTGTGTGTTTTCAAAGCACGCACACAAGTAACATCAAGCAACCACCACGCTTGCCTTTTGTTCAACAAATAATATGAACAAAAAGGTGTAAGATGAAATCCTGTCGTGTGTTGAATCATGTTAAATCATGAGCTGGACATCATGTGTGGCAGGGGCTAACAATCGTTCAACCGCTGGATGATTTGCGAGGCTGCCACGCGCCTCTCCGATGATTGCTTGCATGGGATTAAAGAGTCCGCGCCTCGAAGGGCGGCTGTGGTTGACCCCGAAGGGCAGCACCTTTTCGGGATTTTCGGGTGCTCTTCGATGACTTCGGGGGCGGCCAGGGTCAGGAAATGACGGTGTTGCCAGATCATTTGCGACCAGAGTTGGTGGCAAAGTGAGGAAGCTGTGTGGTAATTTTTGCTGGGGCAGATGACGTGGACCGCCGCTGGCCTGAATCCGAACAAGAAAGCAGGCCCTACTTCCCACATGATTCAAGTCTTCAACTGTTTTTCATCGCTCGTAGTAGTAGGATGACCTCAAAGTTCACCAATCCGTTGTGTTTGTTGCCCAGGAGCCGCGTGACCCCCCGATCCTTCAGCTTACCCTCACGCAGGGCGATTAGATGGAGCCTCAGAGGGTCTTCACTGATTAGATTTGTTCGATTCACTTAGTGAATGCAGAATATTACAATTATTATACAATTTGGCCTCTTGTTCCCTGCCCATTCCTATTGCAGTCCGGTAAGTTTTGAGGTGTCCCTGAGGTTAGTTGGCTGAACTTCAATGAATTCGGACCCCCTCCGAGTGGTGTGTTTCTTTTTTTGTTTGTTTTTTGTTTTTGGGGGTAGTTTCGCATCAATGATCCCATCACATCTCCAGAAGATGGGAGGTTGCAATGGCATGAGACCTGGCATGATGCATATCCATTGATCATTGATCCGTCATTTGAGCACCCTTGTGCCTGTCCCACACATCAGATACATCAGGGGAAAAAACACATGAAATCATGTCGAATTCCCCTTTCGAAAGGTAATGGAGTTGGAAGACTGGTGACAAAGCCGTTGTGGTCGATGATGTCACAATGGGAACCCCCATTTCAGATGAACTGACCAAACTCTCATCCCTTGTGAAGGAGGGGAAGGGCTCGGGGATCCCTGACATCATCTGCAACATGCCATTCAGGGACCCATTCTACAGTAGTTCCGGATGAAAAGGCCAAAGCCTGAACACGACATTTTCAAATAGGTCATCCTGGGTCAACTAAGATAAATGAAATTGGAGCGGCTTGAACATGTTGGTGAAGTGAAATCGGCTTGTATATCACTGTATGTGCAACCCATTCTGAGGATGTTCTGCTGGAACTGCATTTCGTGAAGTCTGTTCCTGCTGTATGTCTATCAAAAAGTGTGTTTCTAGAGTTCCTTTGTCCGGTTTTGCCCCGTGTCTCCCCTGTCTCCTACATAGAGTCGAACAAAAAAGCGCCAGAAAGTGGAGACACAGGGCAATGCCCAAAGCGACAAAGGGGAACTTTCGGAAAAACATGGTATAGAGTAATTATATAGATCGTTATGTAGTATGTGTTGTTTTCCTTTTTCAATGTCCTTTCTCCTGCCTTTCCTATTTTTGTAAACGTCCAGGTCTTCTTCTGTTGGAATGTCATTTTACCGTCCTAGCTTCTTCTAGCTTTGTGTGCAGTTCAGAAACGGGTCCTCGTTTCATCGCAAGATCAATTTCAAGCTTTCACCTGGCTACAGATTTGTTGTCACTTCGTGGTCCGTGGTGCAGAATGACGTACGTCCGTTAGGCCCACGAGTTCGGCTGTACAATTATGTTCGCCGGACCCAGCCTAACTATGAATCTTGAAAAGAACATCAAAGCAAAAAACAATGAACAAAAACAATTACAAAAAACAAAAGAACAAAAACACATCCAAAAAGCAAAAAAACAAAAGCAACAGCAACAACAAAAACAAAGCAAACAAAAACAAATGAACAAGCAAAAGCAAAAGAAAACAAATCCAAAAAGCAACAATTATCACTTTGTTTTGTTTTTTATGTATGCTTTTTTGCTTGCCCGCACATTTTCGCATGTTTTTTCATCTCTTTTTGTTTTCGCTTTTTGTTTGTTTTTCTTTCGCTTTTTGCTTTTTCATTTGTTATTTTTTGATTGTTGCTTTTGCTTTTTGTATTTCTTTGCGCCCCATTTTTTGTTGTTGTTTTTTTGGTTTATTTGGACAAACCATCAGAGATAGCCTAAGTGGTTTACACAACTGTACAACTACCTCCTGCAGTTGGTTAAATTTGGGTGTTGGTCCAGTGTTGGTGTTGGTGTGAGATTTGGTGACCTTTGTGCCTGAGAGAAGCAGATTTGCTTAGTAGGCACAACAGACGTTGCACATAACTAGCATTTATAGGACGAGAGACTAGGTTTTACAACGTACAGATAAAGGAGCCAAACCAAAAACCGCCGCAAACACTGGGACGGAGCCTTGAAGCTCTTGCAATTTTGGTCGAAAAGGGCTCCGCTTGGTTCTGTGGTTCCGTGTTGCCCAGGTCGCCAGAAGCTCCCCGACAGCTGCCAAGGACGGTTTGTTCAGTGGGAGCTTTGTTTTCGTGCTTGCCCTCTGAAGCGGCGAACATTAGAAGGACTTGGTGAATTGGAGGTATTGTAACCAGTTCTACCACAATGACACAATCCATATTCGGGTAGGTTCCTATTTTGTTACATCAGAAAATAGAATCAGATGTTATAGATTTCAGATGATTGAGCCAATGAAGGCCATCGACTTCACTCAGGTAACAAAGGTGCCAGGTGTTTTCTTTTTTATGTCGAGGTTCATCGCACAACGAAGTACGTGGAATTAGGGATTCCGAACACGCGAGTAGGTGAACACCAGGCACTCCCAGCCGCCACACCAGGCACTCCGAGCCGCAGCCGCGTCATGCCACGGCCAAGCCCCAAAGCGACGCCAAGCCCCAATGCCACGCCGGCTCGGCCGAGCTGCGTCCTGAGCCGATCTGGAGGTTGGAAGAAACCCTGAAATCCTGAAACCATCATGGACCTGAACAAATGAAAATCGGATACATGTATGATTCCACGTTTTCAGGATTTTCTGCCACTGGTGGCACGAATAGAGGCGCTCCCAACATGTTTCTTTGGGGTTTTGGGGGGCCTCTCCTCCTGCTGCATTGTTTTAATGGAGCCGTGGGAAAGGCTATATGCACCTGAGGCGTGGACTCCGTGGAATTGAAGCTCGAGTTGGCAGGCCTCAGGTGCGTGTGGTATTGGGGCGTGTCGGTGGTGGGCATGACGGGGAATGGTGTCAAAGAAGTTGAAAAAGAACACTCCCGGGGGAGTGCGGGCCTGAGGCACCAGAGTCAGGGCTGAAGGTGGCGCTGACTTGCCAGGGGGTCTGTACTCGACACTCTTATGCTCTTAGGGAGGGGGCACGCATGGACAAACACATTTTTGGCTGCCGAGGCGGGCGCGAGCTGCAACTTCACAATTTAGCGTGGGCGGCTCATGGCTTTGACGGGTTGATGTTTTTTTTTCAGCTTGCTTGAATCCGCTCAAACTGCTAGTTGGCTTGGTGCCACGGCGTTTTCTTGTTGTTCCCAGGCTCGTCGCAAGCCACAGCGTTGGCAACCCTGAGCCACTGAGAAGGTCCATCGCCAGTTCCATCGCCAATACTGACCTCCAAAGCCTCTCATCGCCTTCCTCTCCAGCAAGATGACAGTACACCCAGTTATATAATCGATCTTGTATCTCAGTGGCAAATCGTCACATCGTCGTAAATCTGAGCTTTTTGTCAATGGTTTGAGCGGGATGGAAGTCTTATTTTGGGCCACTCAATCGGTCGCTCAGGGTCCGGTCTGTAGATCTCTGTGGATCCGGAAGAGGTACAGTAGTTCTTGACTGATGGGCAAAGCCGAGTCAGGACCAGGATTCAGAGCCAGAGCTGGATCGTAGTTCTCTTGAGTGTTTGTTTCCTTTGCAGCTTGCACCGATGTCAGACAGACGATGGCATCGCACTTTTTGTGCCTGTTAGCTACCCAAATGGAGGTCTGAAACAGCGCCCTTCGAAGACTGCGATTCAGATCGATACAGCATCTCGCCATGTTTTCCGTACCGTACATGTTTGCACCTCAAAGCGAAGGTGCTGTAGGCTTGCCAAATGTCTTGCAAAAGGGCTGTGAGTGAACTTGAACTCAGCCGTGAGGCCATGAGACTTTGAAATTCAATGGGCCTTATGGTCGAAACACCTCCAAACCACATGGGTTGAAGAGCTGCAATATTGTGCATGCAGGGCGTCTAGCTTATTGATTTATTGGAGTCAGCAGACGTCTCCGTGCGTTGCCGGCAGCACCCAGTCAATTGCTGATGGACTGTGAGAGTTAAGCTAAGGACTAAGTGATTAAGGACTGTGATCTTCAAGCAGTTGAAGGGTTACTCTACTTGACCAGGGTGAAGCAGCCAACTGACCCTCTCCACCCTTCCTCTCCATGTAAACGTAACCAGCTTCAACTGACTCAGCATCAAAAATATTCAAAAAATCAAAGTAAGAGAGCCATCCAATAGTGACATCTCTACATTAGCCGCGCTCAGTGACCCAATTGGGCCCGATCACGCCTCGTCCTCAGCGCCCTGAAATCAACCCAGTGATGACTGTCGCGACGTATGATGACTCCTTTCGGACTCCTTTCAGTCTCCGAGTTTAGTGGGCTCAGTCAATTCCGAGCCTTTGCAGACACAGCCCGATCAGTTTCTTGAGCTAGGACAACCGACCTTTCACATCAACCCTGGGCCCCCTCAGGGCAACTGCAGCGTTGAAGATGAGCTCCAGCCTTGCCACCATCCAACACCATGATGCCATAGTGTGCTTGCTTTGTATTTGTTCTTCCCTGTCAGACATGTCCAGGCCCGGATGTGCCTGCCTACGTAGGCGAATCGTGAAGGCCAGTTGAGGGACACCGTCTCGGCGCTCAGGTCCGTCTCGGCGAATCATGGCCACGGTCTCAGACCGGCTCACGTCGGGGGCCCCAGGACGTTCGCGGTGCCCAATGGTTCAATGGTTGACACAGAAACAGCGTTTGCATTGCATCGTTGAAGGGTTCATCACACCATGGAGTCGCCTAAAGGCGAAGCGATTCGTAGAGGGAACGGAAGGGTCACAAGGCCTTGGATAACGAGTTGGCTCCAAGAAATTCATAGACCCCAAGATTCCAAGGCCTCGAAGTGCTGCTCAGACCTTGCAAGACTACCAGGCCGGTGCCAAAGCCACTTCTCCAAAGAAGTGTGCTCTCCTTCGATGCTGTCGGGATATGGGGTTCCTTCCAAAGGGGAGTCTGATGTGAGGAGAGCAGGTAAGCCATCGAATCACTATACGTAGTCAATAGTGTAGTCAATAATACATGATGTCAGTATAGTCTATATAGTCTCCTCATTCTTAGCTCACTCATCTGAAACTGCTCTACCCTTTACCCTTCCCTCCGACTCCAGAGAAGGGGGCTCGCCAACCACGGGCTGTAGCGGAGGCAACCCCAGAACAGCAGGCATTGCAACTTGCCATTCTCGGCAGACCACTTGACGCCAGGACAATCATCAGATCGAGATTTTCATGCAGGAGATGGGTGATGAGCAGCCACTAACCACCATTAATCAGGGGATATTTGGCCAGCATCGAGCACCCTTTGTTCATGTTTCCTTCCCCGGTCTTCAAAAGGCTGGGGTCAAGTTCCCATAATGCAAACTCCGGATTAATAACCCCCCCTTTTCAAAGGCTAAGCCATCAGCAAAGACCTGATTGGTGACTTCAACAAGAGATTATAGACTTGCAGCAGAAGAAAAGTGGGGATGGCAGCATGATTAATGGACCTCTCCTAGTTAATCAGGATGGAGTTAAATAGTAGTAGTTATAATATACAAATATATATATTGTAGATTCCCCACACTGGAAGCGTCGCCCTTCCCTCACCTATCACTTCTACCCACCAAGCGCTCCCGGGCGCGTCTTTCTCACACCGCAGCCTCCGAGGGTCGTCCACGACCAAGGGCGAACGGCCGTCCACGCCCCCTGACTTGAGCCCCTTCTCACGGGCACGAACACATGACACTCGGATGAGTGTCACCTCTCATGTGACAGCGTACCCTTCAAAGTCCAGGTTGCAAGGTTTGGCCACTGAAATCACACTCCTGAAAAAACTCTTTTGTCTTTTCAAACGGACTAAAAGTTGGAATTAACGCAGTACCATTGTACTCTATCATGCATAGGGCACACACGGATGAGGTGATTGACGAGTCTTTGCATCATGTTGAAGGCACAACTGTCTGGTAATCTTGGAGATTACATCCCTGACAGAAGGTGCACGCTTGGTCACCTGGAGAGGTGGTGGTGCTTTGCATCCAGGTCTGACGCAGTCGACGATCCGATCTCTGTTTGAGAATCTCATCCACATCCCTGAGGAGACACTTGCCATTCCTGAGGAAAGTTCTAAGGATACTGGTGTCCATTTCTTTTGTTAAAGAGTCTGCCATTTGGGCAGCACTGTGCACCCATTTAATTATTATTCCTTCCCTGAGGCAATCCTTGATCACCAGTGCTTCAAGAAGTGTCCTATACTCACTACACTGGGGAACAGTCGTCTTTTGGAGAAGGTCGTAGAGGCTCTTGCAGTCAAATATGCCGGAGGAAGCTGAGGTAAAGTCTCTGATGGCTTGTTCCAAACAGTCGAAGGATCGATCATCCAATTCCAATGTAATCGGATCCAACTCACCTGGTCCAAAGCACCTGAGAGAGCATAAGTCTCTGACGCCAGGGTGCTAGCTACCACACGGGCGATCTTTTTGGAGCACCATACTATAGGACTTACCTTAGAACCGTGGTTATCATCGACCCCGGGGGTTGTGGCGAGGATGAAAGTTCCTCTCTGAGAGTGGGCTTTGTCCCTCGAGGCAAAAGCAGCATCGGAAAATGAAAGAAACCGAACTTACTCTGTTGGCATAGATTGGATTCTAATTTCTACGTCGGCATGTTTCTTTGCATCTTCTAGTAGCCTATTCGCTATCAACAGATCTCTAACCGTCGCATGTGGTATCTTCGCCTGCAACAAGCTGAGTCGACGCGACAGGTCTGGCCTTGTGTTCGATGCAGCATACTGAAGGCTACCTATCAAGCCTCTTAGTGCTTGGATTTCTTTATCGTTGGCTGCATTCTGTGGTTCTTTGCGACGTTCTCGGGGAATCTCAATTCCAGTGATATCTTTGATATATTCGGTTTGGTTAAGGCGGATGTCACCGTTGCTATCTTGGTTTACCTGAATGCCAGTGAACACAAAAGACCGTTGACGCTTACTTCCAAAAGGAAATCGGGCCTCGAGCTGATCAATGGCTTTAGCGCAAAAACAGCGTCACCCCCACCCAGGCCATCATCTACATGGACACCTAGAATGCCGTGTATACCGCAAGCATCCTTAGGATCTTGATGGTGGACTTTCCGTTTGGGAAGTACAAACAGGCACGGGTCCAATGGAGATATTATGAAGCCAAGGCCAAGGAGGGCAGTCTTCAGCTCTTGGTACCACAACAGTGGTGCATTCACCAATCCGTATGCACTTTTGAGCAGCTCTAGGGGTCTCATCATCCTTAAGATTCAGACGTTGCCTTAGTTCTGGAGGAGGCTCGACACCTAAGACCCTTGAGTCTTGACGGCTACCCCTCAAAAAGGTGGTGGAAATATCGAAAGATCTGACCTCCCACCTGTGACTTGAGATGACCTGGAGCGCTAGCATACGGGTGTCCTTTCCCAACGTGGGGGAGTCACGGGGTAGACTGTCGATTGCGGGATCCTCAAATCCCAGAATGACGAGTCTGGCTTTAGCCTTACGGCTCAGTCCTGTTGAGGCGGCCTGTATGTCATCGAGCGGTTTCCAAGTCAGAACCCATCTTGACCTGAGGAGTTGTCCCTCAGGTATCTTGTGGCGCAAAACGCGACGAACCGTGTCTGTCGCAAGCCATTGTGAGAGCTCTTTATCTTTGGCCTTCTCGAACTGAATGATCTCTTCTGGCGTTGAGTCTTTGATCTTTACTTCTACTCTCTGACGTTTCGCTGCAGAAGCCAGGAACAGTTCCTGTTCACGCTGGGATTTCCTGAGGCATTGCTTCACTTCGGCTTCAGTCAAGAGAATTTCACAGACTACCCCATTTGGATGCTCTTCTTCGGATATGTGATGAGTTTCGTGACTTCCTACGGAAGTCATTTTGGTTGGATCGATGGCAAAAACAGACTGACCGGTCCATATCTCGGCAAGAGTTCTATGACTTTCCGGAATGGATCTTGAACCAATCACCAGTTCTGTACTTTCCAGTTGTCCATCGGTCGGGAAGAATGGCGGCATGGGGCATGGGGTACGGGACACGATGGATCAGTACGAGGATTAAACAGTCGAATTCTTGGGATGTTGCGAACACGAATCAAAAAGTTCCCATGAATCTTCCATGTATCGAAATCAATTGAATCGACCGTGAGTTCATCATCACTTTCAGGTGGAATGGGAACCAGGGATGCGTCTGGCATCAGAGTTTCAGGATTATTTGGTGTTGTGGGAAGCTCCAAGTCTGGTTCTGTGTGAGGTTGAGGTGCAGTGCCTACCGAAGCTGGCCTTGGTCTCTCTCCTTCGGTTGGCTCGGACTGATT